TTAAAGGATCATTGGCCTCCCCCAGCCTCCCCTTTTACTGTTTCTTGTCCCTCTCAAACCCTAATCGAGTGTGTGTGTTCCATTTGTGTATTTTAAGCTTGGAATAGGATTTTGTGGAGAAGGGAGCTTGGAGAGCAAGTATTCAGAAGCAAGGAGCTTGTGGGATCTGAAATCTACCTTGTTGGGCATCTTCTGGAAGATATAATCGTTGCCCTGACCTCATTTCATTCTAGACCCCCTCTTTGGACAATTTTAGGGTTTTCATGGTATGATTGGGAGCTTTTCTTGTGTGCAAGCTCAGATCTGAAGTTGTAACTTCAGAACTGAGCTCCCTTGGACTTCTTAGTCCATAAAGTTTTCAGCTTGTGTAAGAATGAGACTCTCCCAAGGTGCAAAGCTCGATTGGAAGCTTAGATTGGTCATTTAGGGCCTTTAGAGCCTTGCATGTGCGTAAAGTTTGCAACTTTACGTGATAAACATGCCTTAGAAGCTTGGATCTGTAATCTGGAACCTTGCCATGGCTTAAAAAGCGTCTGCATGGATGAAGGTCTGCAAGGACTCGGTGAGTTGGAGGAACAACTCGGCGAGCCCATTGAAAATGGCCATGAACTCGATGAGTTGGATGAACAACTCAGCGAGTCCGTTGAAGATTGCATTGAACTCGGCGAGTCGTTCGAAGACTCGGCGAGTCGGCTAGGGTTTCTCCCAATTCTTGGACACGTATGAACTCGGCGAGTTAAAGGGGAACTCGACGAGCCAATCAAGGATTTCACGACTTCTCGAGTTCAGGAAGGACTCGACGAGTCGGTGAACTGCACTCGACGAGTCAAGTCAGCATGGACTGTTGACTTTGACTATGGACTTTGACTTGGACCAAGGATTGACCAGTTGACTTCTGAGGGTATTCTGGTAATTTGGAGATTTATGAAAAAGGGTTTTATGGTAACTATAGGTGGTGGAGTTCGTGTTGGCGATCCGGGAGTTGAGCTTTCTAGTTTCAGACGACAGTTGCAAGGTGAGTTATCCTCACTATACTAAGGGGTCTAAGGCACCAAGGCCGGCCCATTGGATATGTTATCCTAGCAGTGTTAGATGTTGAGTATGAGTTAGTGTTGCATGCTAGTGGTTGTGCCAGTTGGGTAGATCTGTAGGACTACCTGTGATGTTATATGATTATTGCATGCTCGGTAGTTATGTTATATGTTGATATGTTATGTGGGATGGGTTGAGGTTGTACTGCTCCGTGCGGTAGCCAACAAACCCTAGAGTATTCCAGATATGAGCTGAGGGCCCGGTAGGCATTCCAGACTCATACTGAGGACTCGGGAGCATTCCAGATACGAGCTGAGGGCCCGATAGGCATTCCAGACTCGTACTGAGGGCTCGATGGTATTCCAGATACGAGCTGAGGGCCCGGTAGGCATTCCAGACTCGTACTGAGGGCCCAGGGGTAATCCAGCTTGTAAAGCTGTGGACCCATTGCATGCTGTTTCAGTTTGTTATGATATGTTATTACTGATATGGTTATGTGGACTGTATGTGTATCGGTATTTTGGGGGGTAACTCACTAAGCTTTCGGGCTTAAAGTTTCAGTTTATTGTTTCAGGTACATCAGGGGATCGCGGCAAAGGCGAAGGCATGATCGTACAGCTCCTCATATTATGTTTATGTTTGTGGGAATACTCTGATAAATAATATTTTGAAAACAAAGTTGTAATGTTTTGATGAACTTGACATGTTTTAAAAGTTTAAATTGGTTTGAAATTTTGGGTGTTACACATTTATTTAATTATTAAGTTATTGTTAAATTCTCATTGGTGCATACATGCATACAATACTTGTAGGAAACATTTGAACCTAGCTCTCTCTCTCTCTCTCTCTATATATATATATATATATATATATATATATATATATACGTGTGTGTGTGTGTGTTTTGAAAAATGAAAAATACATGAAGATTTTAGAAATTAGGTTGAAAGGGGACCGATCAACACACCAGGTCAACTTAAAAGTCGGTTTTAAAAATTGCATTTTAAAGAACATTTGTTTAGTTTTTGAGTAGTAGCGGTTTCATAGGTGGATCAGATTTTGGTCATTAAAAGTCAAACTAGATTCAAAGAAATTTTTTCGAACTTATAGGAATCGGACTTGATAAAACCGGTTTGAAAAACCCGATATTTTTATAAACTTTTCGAATAAATTACAAAAAACGTTGCAATACATGTTTAAGTTTGAAAACACAAAACCAAGCATATATAATCGAAAGTAGACATTGTTGTTGTTTTGATACTAGTAGGGTTGTTTATTAATCGTTCATCATTTAGAATTTAGTCGTTGTCAATGGTGTTGTGTAGTTGTTCTTTGTAAGAGAGTTTTTAACAAGTAGGGTTGGCAATCCCAATGTTATTTCTTCCTTACACATTTGTTATTTGGCCTTCATAATTTTGTCTTCAAGTGGTGAAATATTTTCTATCATTTCCACGTCATCCAAGTATTCTTTCAAGCAAATGCATATTTCCACTTATACGAGGGTGAGTTTTATTCTTTTTGGAGATATTAGTGATTATATAGTGGTGGTCCTACTGACCGGTCAGTCGGGGTCGAAGGGTAGCGCCCTAAACCTCTACTTATTTTCGGATCTAGAATGTAGTGGGAAAACATGATCGTATTGAAGGAATGTTGAAGAAACATGTAGATATTGTATGCTCGATGTAGTTCATGTTGTTTGGCAGTCAAGGTTGCTCACATCCAAAGTTACGTTGACAACCATTCTTGGCCAACTCTTATTAGATAGCTCGAGTTGTTTGACAGTTATTTTCCAAAAAATATTTTTAACTGTAGAAAATTGTTATTTCGTCAATCTTCTCTACATACTGGATGTGTGAATTTTAGATTTTATTAATTTTGGAGACTTCTAAGATTTTTAATAAACCATATAGTCTCTAGTAATTTTGCTTTTTTGTTTTGCACCTAAACATAAAGCGTCCTTGAGAATTATCCTATATTGATTTTTTTTTCAACCCTGATACAAGGTAGAAATATCAATTAAAGTTAACTTAAAAATCAATCTTCCAGTCATCCATGATTTCTTTATTATTAAACCATACATTTTTTTATTATTAAACCATATTACCTACCTTAAATTTTAACAATCAAGTTGATATTCTTTGTTGATAAACATGGTTAAACATGTCACACATGACTCTTAAGTTAGTAAGGAGAACTTTGAAGAGAATGATTCTATATGGTAGAAAATATATATTTTTTGTTAATAACATTGAAGGTTATGTATGTGATGGGTACCCATGAAAGGGAATATGAGACACCACGGACCAAAGTCAAACAAAACCAAACTGCATGTATTGTTTAAGTAAAAAATATTTATATGAATGAAATCTGCATTTTGGACCAACTACATGGATAATTTTTGTAATTTACTTTAATTACAAAAATAATTATACTTATACAAATGTGATGGGTACCCATGAAAGGGAATGTGAGACACCACGGACCAAAGTCAAACAAAACCAAACTGCATGTATTGTTCAAGTAAAAAATATTTATATGAATGAAACCTGCATTTTGGACCAACTACATGGACAATTTTTGTAATTTACTTTAATTACAAAAATAATTATACTTATACAAAACACATTAAATTTTACATTCAACCATCATATTTAATAGTTAAAAATATTAATACTTAAACTTAAGACCCAATCATTTCCCTCCCTCTCTTGCTTGCCGTATCTTATCCTCCGACATGTTCCTTACTGACGATGCAACACAATAACCACTCATTTCCTTATAATTACCTTTGCCACCATGACATCTTCTTTTATGTGCACTCAGATAGATAGATCGGAGACAAATAAATGATAGTTGGGTGGGACTAATGGTTTGAGATACATGGATAAGAGAAATGTGTTATGTGAATTAGATTTGGAGGTGGAGTTTCTCATAATTGTTGATGGTTATGACTTTGGTTATTATTTACAGGTTTTATTGTGTCACTTTGGTCTTTGTCCAAATTCAAATGACTATTTTCCCCTTAAATATTAATTTTATAATTTATTTTATTTATTTTATATTAAAATATTATTAATAATTTAAAAAATGCCCACTTTCAACCCGTCCCCACCCTTATACCCACCCACACCCAACCATATTCTACACCCTTCTCCCCTTCCACATGAAGTGCCAATTTAATGTGTAAGGACTTCCTTTTGAGTTCTTAATCATTCTTGGATTATTAATTATTTTTTAATATTCTTGTTACCCAATTGTGCCATTTCTTGATTATTTAGAAGAGCCGGAATCTATCATGACCTTTTTTTATATTAGGTTGGTGGGTGTCATAGCACACTAACCACGCTTTTCAAATGTCACGGTATTTTTTGCCTCACTCCACAAAACTGATGGGTGTCATACCACACCTTACCGCACCCATCATAATACACATTTTATGCATGAAATACAACATTTGAAGGAATGACTATTTCTTATAGTGCGGTAAAGTTGTAACACACTCTATGCATATCACACTTTTATTTTGGGGGTCGGTGCGGTGTTTACTGCATACTTCACTATATCGCGGTATGCGGTAAGAGGCGCATATCATAGTCTTAGAGGAGCCAATGACACAACTCAATGCTATGTTAAGAAAGGGATGCAACTGGAAATGAGAAATGAATAAAATGGAGTGAAAGATATGTTTTTTTAGGTTATAACTTATAAGTACTAAAATGAATACCAAGAGAAATGAATAAAATGGAGTGAAAGATAGGTTTTTTTAGGTTATAACTTATAAGTACTAAAATGAATACCAAGAATATAAACAATAAATTAAAAAATATAATAATATTTGGAAAAAAAACAATTTTGCATTTTCTTTAAAAAAAAATATAACTTCCTTGGAGAAATGAGTAACTTTCAAAAACCCCTGCCACGATCACGTGCTCATCGTCGACTTATCATGTGACTTCTCCTCCGCCACCCCTACCCCCACCCCACCCCCAATCACAACCACTGTACTCTCTTTCTTCCCCTGTAATTTGCTCCTTCTCCCTCACAGAGCCTCACAACACTCCATTTACACCTCTACATTTCTAGGGTTTTTGTCCTTTAGCGCACAAACTTCATCACAAGAGCTCTGAGCAAGTTTTATGTGAACAAACTTCATCAACAATGGGCTGTTTCCAGTCCAAAACCGCCAATGTTCAAACTCCTGATCAAGTCCCTGAATCCAAACCAGATCCAGGTAGTATTTCACAATCCTCTTATATTCCCTTACGCTGATTTCCGATGTTGAATCCTGTCCTTTTCAAAACCCAAATCATGTAACTTTTAACAGCAACATTGTTCTATTTGCTTATTGTCGGTAGCTCTAAGTTAAAAAGCAAGTGTAGCTCGTTAATAAGGAGTATTATTTTTGGATTTTTTATACCATCGATACTGATTGATTGTTTTCTTGTTATAAATTGCTGAAAAAAAGCCAATGGAGATGAAGGATCAGATCAACAAGATCAAAATCAAGGAGTCCCCGCATTCAAAGAGTTCGAACTGACGGAGCTTCGAGCTGCCACGAATGGGTTCAGCAGCGAGCTTATAGTTTCAGAGAGCGGAGAGAAAGCTCCGAATGTGGTTTATCGAGGGAAGCTTCGTAGCAATAAAGTCGTTGCCATTAAACGTTTTTCCAAGCTCTCTTGGCCCGACCCACAACAATTCGTGGTATGTATCCATGATTTTTGTGGCTTCTTTCTGCTTTTCATATTCAGTTTCTAGGTTTCTTTTTATTTCTTCTTTACACAATGCTAAAGAGCTTGAATCGTGTTTCATGAGCACTGATTTCTTTGCAATAAATTTACTTACGGAAGTTTTTTTTAAAAAAATCAAAATTTCACGATAAAGAACTGAAGTGAAAATGACTTGCTCTCTGTTGCAATTTGTCCCTCTTATGATTGTGAACTTAATAAGGAAAAGTTTGTTTCTATGAAAAGCGAGATAATGATTTCTTTCCTTTTTGAATGAAAAGGTAAAGCAATTTAGGGTTACCAAGAAAGTTGCTTTCTTAAGAAATGTGGTGGCCTTCTTGACACAAATACACATAACAAAATGTTAATTCCACAATGAAGGCTTTCTAGCTTTAATTTTGCTTTTTTATTTGCAATTGTGAAATATTCAAATATCCTAAAATGAGTGGTTTTATTATTTGCTCTCGATCTTTTGTTTGTCCAAAAGACGTAAATACCCTCCTCATCTCATAGTTATCTTATTGGGCATTCTTTATAGGCAGAAGCTGCTGGTGTTGGCAAGGTTAGACACAAGAGATTGGTTAACTTAATTGGGTGTTGTGCTGAGGGAGAAGAACGTCTTTTAGTTGCTGAATACATGCCTAATGATACCCTCTCAAAGCATCTATTTCATTGTATGCTTTTCAATTATAATTTATACACAATACAACACACATTTCTTTTTCTCTTCTCACTTTTCACATTTGGACTAGTTTTTACTTTTTACTAATTGTGTTTAACATGTTACAAATAAATGTTAGGGGATAAACAACCTTTGCCATGGGAAATGCGTGTGAGAGTTGCAAACCATATTGCACAAGCTCTTGATCATTGCAATACTGAAAATAGGAAAATCTATCATGATCTAAATGCATATAGAGTCCTCTTTGATGAGGTACAAAGTACAATACATATTTTCCTCATGTTATGTACTTGATAAATGAATAATCTTTATTTGTAAATAAAGTTTTATTGCACTTTTATTTTTTTGTGATAGGATGGTGATCCTCGGTTATCTAGTTTTGGTTTAATGAAAAATAGTCGAGATGGGAAGAGTTATAGTACTAATCTTGCTTATACTCCCCCTGAGTTTTTGCGTACAGGTGGCACCTCTTTCATACTTTTTCATATTTTAAAATTTCAGGACTTAAAATGAGGATTGAGGGTAAATTTGTAAAAAAGTTAAGGACTTAATGAAAAAGTCTCATTTTGTGTTTTGCAGGCAGGGTTATTCCAGAGAGTGTGATTTATAGTTATGGAACTGTCTTACTGGATCTTTTGAGTGGAAAGCATATACCTCCAAGTCATGTAAATATACCTTTATATTTTTAAAATTTAAGTTCATTAAGTAAAAAAGAAACAACACTAATTATTATGTGTTTGATTATTTCTCTTCAGGCATTAGATTTAATACGTGGAAAAAACATATTGTTGTTGATGGATTCATCATTGGAAGGGCAATATGGTGATGAAGATGCAACTGCAATGGTGGAACTTGCTTCAAAGTGTCTTCAATACGAGGGGCGAGATCGTCCGGATATTAAGTTTCTTCTCACATCAGTTGCTCCCCTTCAAAAACAGACAGATGTGAGACTACACAGTCTTATTTTTTATTTTTTATTTTTCCCACATTGGATAAATGATATTATAAAATATTATTTTGAGTACAAATTTGTAAAATTTGCAGGTTGCATCACATGTGTTGATGGGTTTGATAAAAACAGTAACTCCAGTGGCAGTGGCAGTGGTCCCCACCATAGTTTCTCCTCTTGGAAAAGCATGTGCAAGAATGGATCTTACTGCAGTACATGACATGTTGCTTAAAACAGGATACAGAGATGAAGAGGGGGCCGAAAATGAGGTGAGTATAATGCTTAATAACAATGTACTTTTTACTCTTGTTAACAATATGGGAAATGTATTTTATTTTTTATTCATAATGGCAATAAAGTACATTGCCTATATTGATATGTTGGTAAATCTTTATGTTGTTGAAGCTGTCATTCCAAGAATGGACTCAACAAGTGCAAGACATGCTAAACACAAAAAAGTTTGGAGACATTGCATTTAGGGACAAGGATTTCAAAGGTTCTGTTGAACATTATTCCAAGGTAATTAATTAATTAATTAATTCTTGATTAATTAAAAAAAAAAACAAATACAAATTTCAATTTATCCATTTTCGTGTTTCAAAATGCACAGTTGGTTTCAATGATGCCGGTCCCTTCGGGCACGATTTTTGTGAGACGGGCACTCTCTTACATGATGATCGGGCAGCCTGAGCTTGCATTGCGAGACGCAATGCAAGCTCAGGTTTGTCTGCCCGAGTGGCCCACCGCGTTTTACATGCAAGCGTTGGCTCTTTCTAAGCTTGGCATGGAAACGGATGCTCAAGATATGCTCAATGATGGGTCCACGTTTGAAGCCAAGAGGCAAAATAGTTGGCGCAACTAGCCCCTGGACGCATCTGATGCGTACTTTGTTGTTGTACACATCAGATGCGTACTTTGTATGTATCTGATACTTTGTATGTATCTGATATATGCGCATCTGATACATAAAAGTGTGTGTCAAACACAATTAAGGGTAATCGAAGAAAGTTTGGGTTCTTAATATGATATGAAGATAATGAGATAGGCCCGGGCACAATTGGGTTTATTTAATGAGGGGAGGGGTTGGGCACGATTGTTTATTGTCGTTGTGATGTAGACTATAGTATCATACGTAGAATTTGTATAAAGTGCCTTAAAGTTAAAAGGCTTCTATTCGAGTTTAAGTTATTTATGTGTCATTTGCTTTTACCCTTTTTTGAAAGTGGGTTAACATAGTTTGTTCGGTTTTGGTTTTTAACTAAAACTAAAATGAAACCGGAAGAATTGGGTTTCCATCTCCAAAGAAACTGATTTTGTTTGGTTTAAGGTTTAATTTTATCGCTGTTTTTTAACCGCATAAAGCACTGAAAGTAGCAATCAAATGCAGGAGCTTGTTGAAATCAAAATCATTGAAAGCTTGAAAAAATATTTATCGAATCTTGCAATATAATGGGAAAAAAATCTATAAATTCATATCTAAGAACAATAACTAAATGGAGTTCAATGAAAAACCACAAAGAGTTTAAAGAATTAATCATGTAAGGAAGTTGTTATAAAAAAATCATGTTAAAGAACTAATATATCTAAACCCATCTAAAAACCATTATATCTAAAAGGTATTTCGGACTAAAATTTCGGATTTAAAAAAATTAAAAACTCTTGAATTTCAAGAACAAGTCCAAAATCCGAAGAAAAATTCTGAAATTTTGAGAAAAAAAATCGTTTTTTTTTATTTAAATTTGACAAAAGTTAAACAAATATAGTAAATATGAACTATATACGATATTAGTGTATAAAATCAAACATTTTATTGAAAAACTGTGATATTAAACCCTTAGAAATGAACATTTCGGACATAAGTGAAAATATTTTTTCAAAAAAAAAAATTGGGACAAAACCAAAAAATAGTTCTAGAATTTGAAGATCAAACACGGAATGAAGCATTCTTCAGAAAAAAAAAATGAAAAATAGTACAGAGACATTTAGGAGGTTACGGTCATTTTTCAAAATGAAAACAAAAAAAAAAATAATTATTTTCTTAAAAAAAACTCATTTATATGAGTTAGATTACTCAATTTCCCAAATAAATGACATTTATATATTTGGTCCTAGATAATTTACAAATGACATCATATTAAGATTGATTCACATCCTTTCTTATTTCTGGATTTAAAACAAAAACCACCATGACCATACAAAATTGCTTCTTTTCCAAAATTAAACACAACGGTTTATATATATATATTTTTATTTTTAGTTCGTTTTTTGTTTCTTTTGGATAAGAAAAAACCTCAGACTCGCACATTACCCTACAAACGATCTGGTCCACTAGAAAAGAGCAAATCATCCACAAAAGAAGACATGTGGCTATCCAAGAGTTGAGACCTTTGAAAATAACACCTAGGGCAACTCTTTTGAATTTTTATTTTATTTTATATGTTTTTTTTAACTCAAGATGTGACAAGAGAAAAACATTGAAATCAAACACTTTTCTTTCGATTTACTTACAATAGATACATAAACCTAAAGCTATTACAAATTAGATTCTAACCACATAAAAACCAAAAAGAATGTTTAAATTTTTTTAACCTTCAATCATTAATAAAACCTTCTGTTTATACCATTTCACATTTCAACCCTTGTTCAACATTTCTGTTTCTATTTTATTCACACCTCATTGGTGATCCATAAATCTTTCTTTGTTTTGTGATGAATGGAATATCTGATGAGTGACCACAAATATTATGGGCCATTCAACTCTCAACCAGAAGATGAAGGGGGGCTGTTGTAGATTTAAACCCGATAAGGACCAGATTTGAAAAATGTAGTGATATGTCCGTTTCTAAGCTGTTTCATCATTTGGAAGCAAATCTGCTGCACTCTTGCGATTTCTTAACATATCACGAACCTTGTAATTTCCTCCATTTCCATCATTATCTTTCTTCATAAATTGAAATCCCATAAGATACCTGTATTCCCCTGTCCCAAGACACCTTGAGCAATAGCCAAGCCCACTCCCACCACATGTCTTGCACCTGTGTAAAACCTCAAATTGGTCAAAAAGTCAAACATTATGCTGCAAAAATAAACATTTGTGGGATGAACATGGTTACATATTTTGGTTATAGATTGAAAACATGGATGCATAATTCGTCTGAAAAAAACCATTTTTTTAAAAAATGCTCAAGATTTAGGATACTTTACCATTTTGGCCACTCCCCATTTGGAAGCATTGCTAAGTCAACATTGTTTGTCCTTCCTGAAACAAAATATAAAGAAACATCACTTGTAACACATACATGACAAACATAGTACAACCTGTTCTGTTCTTGGGCCCACAAGAAAAGGAAAAACTAGCAAGTGTTGATGCATTTGTGTTTTTTATGGAAGTGAGGGAAAGAGCTAACCTTTTCCACAACAATCAAAACAATCTACTCTTCCACTCCCTTTGCATACAACACATGAAGGATCTGGTTTTTGTCTTTTCTCTAATCTAACATTAGACTGCAAGAAAAAAAAAAGCAATTTGGAGACCAGGTATTCTTCAAAAACACCAACAAAACAAGGGCAAATCAAGAAATCAATTTTCAACTAATTGAGTTCCCATTTATATGAACATAATGCCTTCGTTAATTCACTTTACTTCTAGCTATTTCCTATGTTTTCGACTTATATACAAACAATTAAGAGGTCAAATGAGCATGGGAAGTTCGATTTGATCGCCTGTAAACGGAACAAACTTTGTATCGGATGAGATCTAAACAGGCACAACTTCAAATAATCAAAACCTGTTCAAAATCGCAACAGTTTTCCCCAAATCCATGACTCTCATGCTCCAACTATTTGTCAGGTTTCGATCAATACAGTAACGGATAATTAAATTAAGTTTCATTACGAATTACAGCAGCAACAAAACCAGCATGTATAAATATCAATTTAAGAAAATGTTACCTTACCTCTGTTCTAACAATCCAAGATGGCTTCGGGGCTGATAGCAGAGGGGTTCGAGGCGGTGGCGGTGATGGTGCTGGTAGGTTGCGACTGTCCGGAGGCGGTGCACCATTGCTTGAATTTGTGGCCTGGACGGCTGTTCGCGTGAAAAGATTGGATACTGTCCCGGTAAAGACTATCATTTTTGTGCGAGTTATGAGTAACTTTATCCATTTATGTATGTACAAGAGTGCCTTTGGTTAGGCGGGATTCACTTAATTTGGTGGAATTGGAATATGAATTTTTATGTTTGGTTGTGAAATTGAATGGAATTGGATTTAAAAGGATTCCATAAAAAAGTTTATTTGGTTGATTTTAATATATTTTTAACACTTTTTTTTCTTTGGTAAAGAAATTATCTATGACCTGGAACATACATAAAGGATCTTGTGTCATTCGAAGACAACCACATATATAAAACAAGAAAATTTTGCGACAAACGTGTTATGTATGTGTTCACAAGATGTACAATTTATCGATGTAATAGGATGGGAATGTCACTTATGGATGGTAGAGTGCTACGTGATGCTTTTCTTAGGTCACACGGATTGAAAGTTCCAAAATCATGTGTGTAAATATAGATTTTAAAATTAAAAATATAGTTATAATGTGTTTATTGACTATGATGTATTTTTCATGTTATTAATCGGTCTATGTGGATAAAAACATAAATGGTGAGGGTTTCCTCACCCATTATAGAGGTCACATATATTATTTTTATTGATTGTTGTGATGGAACCAACCTGCTACTCAAAGAATTCAACATGAAACATTTATCTTCACACATGTTATATAAAAGATATTTTGGCATTTTGAATCAAGGTGACGAGTTTTAGAAGACGAACCGTATTATGAAACACCCATTATATAAGTACTTTGCAATAGTCAATTTAAAAAATCCTTTTTAAAATAGTTTTCACACCATTTAAGTAAATAAGATGCGGAAACTTCCCAACATATCAAAAAACTTTTAGCATTGAGAGTACATTATCAAAAGTTCATACGATGGCATCATAATTAACAAAATAGGTAATTGTAAAGTGTCTAACTATTTCAAAGATACCATCATAATTTATCTTTAAATATCATCAAGCTTCTTAGCCTACATAACATCACTAAATACCCGCTACTAACATAAGTACATGTCAAAATAGAAAGTATGACGTGGAAATCCTAGTTAATCGGATAGGATCTAGACATTATAAGAACAATACATAAATGAACAAACATTTTATATATAAATGTAACAACCTCATAACTTCATCAAAGTTTATTTAAAATTTCTTAATCTTTCTTTATAACTTTTTTAAAGCTATCGAACTACATTTTTGGAAAAAAAAACATTATATAAGTCAAAGTACATTGTTATAACTTCATAAATGGGTTTTTGGTCCCTCGCCACGACTCCTCGTTTTTGCAAGGATAAGAGGAGATGGCTTGCTCTTTAGGAGATACGTTAAGACATCTAAGCGCATTGCATACCCTTTCCTCATAAACTCTTAATAACCCCCCCCCCCAGGTTTCGAACGTTGCACCTCCCATGTGTAAGGCAATACCATACCCGATAAGGGCGGGCTCCAGTTACTTGATTTTATACAATGTAACAAAACATCATAAACGAATATACATGTAATAATGCAATGCATGATATGTAACAAGGTACCGAAAATATATAAGTAATATTATCTTACATTGTCATTATTCTTCGTCTTTAAGGGGCTCTCAAGGTAGACCCGATGGAAAATGATGGTTGTAGAGACATGTATGTTGAATATTTGTTGATGTGTTGTGTGATATTCAATATATATGTCTATAAAACCATCATTTTTGACAGTTGATGAAGCCAATCTCGTAACGATTGAACTCGTTCAACAGAGGGGTTGATATATGCGTGTTCAAGAGCAATCCATATTTGTTGAGCAGTGGAAAGATTGACGATTTTAGAAAAAGTTTCATCCGTAAGTGATGTCTGGAGAAGAATAATAGCCCCTTGATCGGCCTGCAACCACATCCGCCTGTAAACAAGTGACCACCATGTTCACAAAGGGAGCATGTGTGTTGGTATTAATCGAAAAGGCAACTGAAGGAGAAATAGTATCATGTAAGGAGCGTAAAAATAACTCACGTGCTTCGGCTTGAGCAAGAAGATCACGAAAAGTAGTGGGAGATCGGGAGGCTCGAATAATAGTTAAAAAGGTCTCAAATGATGAACCAAGACCACACGAGAACCAATAAACCCTATATGGTTCAACGACAGGATGTCCAACAGCCGCCAATTGATCACATATGAATTTGAACTTTCGCCCGAAATCAGCAACAAATGATGAACCTTTTGACAATTGACAAAGTTGATATCGTAACGATTGAATCCACTAAATAGAGGAGTTGCTATATGCATGTTCAAGAGCATCCCGACCCTATTGAGTGGTGGAAAGACCCGACTATTTCAAAAGAAGTTTTCTCTGTAAGTGATGCCCGAAGAAGAATGATGGCCCGTTGATTAGCCTGCAACTACTTTGTGTAAGCCGGATTCGGTGATGGTTTATTATTAACAAGAAGTTCAGGAACCGGTTGAGAAAAGGTACCATCAACATGCCCCGAATTTTTTTTGATATGTGAGTAGAGGAACCATTTGATTATTCTGTAATGTCCAAAAAATCACAAATAAAATTTTCATTTTTAATTAAAGTAAAATAATTGTTACCAATCAAAGCGAACTGTATATCATTAATTCGACTAATATAGTTCAATACATATCGATGGAAGACAAACGGGCAACAAGCTGCACCGCTAGCCCTTTCTGGATGGCAAAACTAATTCTTTTGAAAACAACATATGTGAATCTAGGAGATATGACATTAAAATGCATGACCATTTGGACTTTGTTGAGGAGCTCCACCGCCTCTGGTGCGAGAAAACCAAATGTATCAAATGCAAAAGTTACAAACACATGTTGATTTTCTATACATGCATTCTCGTGCTTTGCCACTTTGCACGCAGCGGCTTTCAAAGCGGCATGCCCTGCTGTGAAATCCTCGTTCCTCAAACCGACGAGAGGAGAGACCCCAGTAAGATCCACACATACGTGCTTCCCTCCTACCCATCCAAAGACCAAAATGTCATCCGGTCTAAGTGTGGATCAAAACCCAAGTCATAAGAAACCAATATCAAGTATAAATATTCTGAAATCAGTGTATCATAACATCTCCAAAACATGTCACCGAAGGATGTGTATGATCACGCATTCGCCTTGCCCCGATCATCAAAAGTACTTGATACATAACACTTAAACTGTAAGTGAAAGCTTAGTGAGTTCCCCCAAAATACCACCACACAAACATAAAACAACATGGATATTGGGTCCACAACCATTAGACTAGATTACCCCTGAGCCCACAACATGAGTATGGCATGCCTTCCTAGCCCACAACTCATGTCTGGATTGCTCCCGAGCCCACACATAATTTTGGCTTGCCTTTCTGGCCCACAACTTATGTTTGACTTGCTCCCGGGTTTGTTGGCTTTCGCATAGAGCAATATTGCCTCAACCCAACCGTACTATATCGACATATGCAACAGGTAAACATATAACAACAAACAAATAAACATGCAAATCTTAACAGATCACTACATCATAGTAACATCCTAATCCAGGATATATAATTTACTAGGTCGGCATTGGTGTCTTCGACCCACAAGTTCAGTGATGAAACTCACCTTACAGTTTGAAATGTAGTTGAACAGATAACAGCTCCAACTGTTGACTCTACATGTCACTTATACAACAAACAGTGACCTAATCTCAAACTACTTGCTCAAAATACCCAAAATACCCCTAAGTCAAACTTGGTCAAAGTCAAGGTCAAAAAGTCAAAGATTCCATCTAGGTTGAGTACGCCTAACGTACCAGAGCTAAATCCCCAAATTCCTCATTAAGTACTTATTTCATTAAGCCAAAGCACGAAACTCCAAATCCAGGTAACAAGGGACGTGTTAAATACAAGAGGGTATAAACTCAAACCCTTGGTCCAAAAGCCATCCAAAGCTCCAAAACTTTTGCATGGATTAATGAGAGTGATCAAGCTCTCATTTTTATGAACCCATGAGCTTAAAACTACAGAAAACTACAATTCAAGGACATGGAGTAGCTCATACTCCACTAGACCAAAACTATAGGATCAAAATGTACACAAACTATAGATTAGTAATATCTAAGCAAATAACTCATCAAGATTCAGACTTTATACCTCCAAAAGATTCTTGAGGGTGACATACTTCTGGATCTAGGTTGCCTTGAGCTTCCAAGATGATTCCACTTTGTTCTCCTTCCTTGAAGAACACCAAAAATGCACTCTCAAGCTCAAAGACTCATACAATGGATTAAGGTTTGCAAGTGGCGATTTGGAAGATGGAGGCTGATGAGGGAAAATGTTTTGGAAAGTTAAGGATGTTTAAATAGTGTTCAAACCCTAAAAAATTAGGGTTTGTTTATTGGCCACATATGCCCTGCATACTCACATGCATGTGTGATTCATTAAATGGACTACGTCATGCGTACGCCCCAAGTATGCATGACATAAGGAATTATATTGCAATAATTTATTCACTTTGAAAATAGGACGCCGTGAGGGAGGAGTTGCAGAAATAGAGAAGAAGAAGACGAAGTGAAGAATGGGAGATGAAGAGATTAAGGGTGGGATTAAATTGTTGTATATATAATGAGAGTAAATCTCATCACACTAAATAAGGTGGAGATGCATTTTATTTATAGATAAAGAAATTACATATTACACCCTTGGATATTAGACAATTTTACAGAATATATACAAGACATTAACTAGTGAGTCTAATAAGACATTTTTGTATGTTAACTTTAGAGGAATCATATCATAATGCATTTAATAACCAAAGGTTTTATGTTTGTTATTTTGAAAATGAATTAGAATGCAATATCTAAGGAATTTGTTGACTTGCTATTATTGATATACTATTGGTGGAAAAAAGAAGTCTTAGAGAAATCTAATGAGAATATTATTGATCAAATCACTACTAAGATATAAAATATTATTTAACGGGAACAATATGAAAATTGAAAATAGATTTTTAAATATCAGATTTTAGGAGTTGTATTTATGTTTTATTT